ACAAGCGAATATCAAGTAGAGTTTCCACTGTTCCACGAGGATTTCCGGCTGTGTTGTCGGTGTCCTACCAGCGACGCGGGCGCTCCCGGGATCTGATCCGTAGTACAAGCCCCTTGATGGCTCCGACAAGAGCACGATAGCTTTGTACATCTGCAGAATTCGGTTGCAGATCAGGTCCCGACCAATGGTGACTGTAAAAGGGCACTTTTCGTACGCGATACGGATGAGATTGGGGAAGAGCTTGAACCACAAGGTCGTGTCGTACGAGACATCACTGGTACACAACTCCACTAGGGCACCTCGAATGTTACTGTTTTGCATGCCCCTTTGGAGCCTGCTCCTCTCAGCAACGGAGAGGCCTTCATCCTTAAAGTTCATTACTTGCATCGAGTCATTTTCCAAGATGTCAATGACTCTCAGAGTATCCTTGTCTTGGTTCTGTAGCGCCTTGTCGAAATCGTTGATGAGCCGGAGGACGGTAATGGCAAAGTAGCGTACCCTCCGAGACTGCGAGCAGAGGAAAAACAAGCCATGGGCTTCTGCTTGATCAACCTCTGCCCAGATGCCGGAGAGATCAAGTTTTGCGCCGCGTTTGTCACTCGCCTCGAGTTGGTCTAGAGAAGCGTCTCGAGTCTTTCTTCTTATCTCCTCGATCCAAATTTGAAGCAGCTCAACGTACAGACGCAGAGTGCTCTCGATGTGACCGGGCCCGAGCATGCCACCGTCAGACATGGTCGAGTACCGGTCGTCAAAATTGAAGATGAAGCGAGCGAAGCCCATGGTGACTTGCTGCGCGTGGGCCTGCCGGGCTATGGCCTTGAGTGACTGAGCGGACGAGAAAGCGATATTGTACTGCACGTGAGCGGTTCCCGTGCAAAGCAGGTTGATCAGAGAGTTAAAGGGTATATCGACAGAAAGACAACGAGGCAACGCTTGGACGGCAACATGTAAAAGCTCGTAAAACGCCTGTTTGTGATCCGCAGGAGACTGATGGTCATCCCGCCGTGAGAAATTGAAGGTGTCGGCGATGGGGGTTTTGGGGCCTGGGCTGCTAAACTTCTCATCCAACACGGCTTGGCCTCCGAACGTGTTGTCGCAAATGATGGTGATCTTGCCGAGAATCTCGCAGAACTTATGATAGTATTCACGGACAATGTCACTCAGGGCACTTGTCCGGACGGGGCGTGAGAGCTGCTCACCCTCGCCAGGCGTCGCCGAAGTAGAACCTGCCGACGCGGTGTGGTGTGGTGAGGCGATCACGGGAGAGACAGGCCCGCGTTCAATCGTAGGTGGTGGGGGGAATGAGCTCGGGAAAGGCGGCCGGCCCTCCTCAGCCTTTTCTAGGTCAGACATGATGGCAAGGAACGCTCTGATTCCAATGACCATGCGGTCCGGATCGAGTTGCTCCACCTTCAAGTCTTTGTTGGATACGAACAATTCCGCATTGATCAACGGGAAGATGACATGCTTGAAGCAGTATTCGGGCTGCTTATATCCGATGATTCTGATGATTTGGATCACCGGCTCTGTCACGGCCGAGTCGGAGGCGATGAGACTGCGCTTCGTTGGTGGCAAAACTAATTTCATCACCTCGTCGAGCTTCCTGTTCGTATTAGGCAGGGTATCGTTAGTTCGGTACAGGTATGTCCACAGCAGCCTCGCAATCACCTGGAGGCACAATGGTCGTGTAAAACGGTCCTTGAGCTTCGGCTGGAGAGGGAGAATCAGCTGGAGCCATTGGGATCCAAATGTGTCGGGAGGAGATACGCAGAGCAGCGTTGCTGTCAGGGGAAAGGCGAACCCCCAATGCCGAGGCTTGATGAACATTTGCGCAAGGCGGGGACCAATCGCGCCGAGAACCTCGATCCATTTCGGATGCGCCAGATCTTGGTTTGTTGCTTTGGCGGCTACAGTGAGCAAAAGCGTCTCGAGCACCTGGCAGAAAGCCGTCTTCACTCGCTGGCCGTGGGAGCGATGGAACAGGCGCCCAACGGCCACCATGAAGTCGCACGAGTATTCCCAGGCCTCTGGATGTGACATATTGACTTTGAGGTGCTTCATCCCACCTAGGACGAGCTCAATCTTGCCCTCGGCATCGCGGCCTACTGGTGATGTGGGACTTTTGGCAACCAGCTCCTGGAGGGATCGTTCGAGGTCTCCAAGAAACCTTTCTGTGACGCCCCTGAAGTTGATCTCGCTCATGACACCCAAGAGCTGCGAGAAGAGGTTCCAGTTTGCAAGTTTCAGCGGGCTGACCATGAGCTGCTCTGTGTCGGCGATCTTGAGTTGGCCAAAGATGATGCCCTCCAGCTTCTCTTCCATCTCCAAAGTCAAGAAGGGGAGGCTCGTTTGACTGATGACCTCTAGAAGCACCCGGCAGAGTATATAGATGGAAACGGTAGAACGACGTTCGGCGTGTGCCACGAATTCTTGTTTAGCGGCCAATGAAGTCTGCGGGCTGGCCAGACCATTGTCCATGGCTCCGGGCAGAGGCTGCAGAGGCTCGGTATTCCGGCGTTGGAGGGGCCCTGGTGCCGCACCCCTCGATTGCTGCAACTGACTTCGGGCTTCGTTGGCCGCATCGCTCTTGCTCTTCCTCCATAGCATCATGGAGTCTATCAGGGGTTTCGGTCGTGGCCGGGCAATGTGGCCCAAGGCGGTAATGATCTGGTCGAAGGATGGGTCGACTCCCGGGCCGCAGATCTGCTCGACCTGCGGCTCGGGTTCGAATGGCACTGTAATGCAGTCATTGAGTTTCTCTTCGGCTTGCGCAATAAACTAGGGAATTGGTTATCATCAGAGCTTTCGTGGCCGCGCGAGATGGAAGCGGGTTTGCTCAACATACGGATGTGAAGAGCACATGCAAAGCGTATTCCCCCACAGTCTTTTGCTCATCCCTGTGGTGCTTGGAAGAGTGGGAGTGGTGGTGTGCGTGTTCGCGCCTCGTCTTGCTATGCATTCGTTCCACCTTTCTCTGCGCGACAGAGGCATTGGAAAAGTCGGTAGCTGAAGATGTTCTCTCGGGGACGATGGGCCCAGAGTTGACGGTGGTGCCAGACATGGCGGTGCCTGGGCGCAAGCCCGGAGGCGCGTCCGGGTCTAGACGGCCAACGGCGTGCATATCGGGACGTTCTGGGGTGAGACCCGCGCCGGCGGCAGCAATTATCTGCGGGCTGAGAGGACTCGAAGACGAGCTGGCGTGACTTCCATTTCTAGAGTGCTGAATGCCGTGTACTATGGAGGTCTGACGATGGTGACCGTATGACGCGCTCTTGGGATCGACGAGTCGTTCGATTACGCCGCCGAGGCCTCCTCCTCCTGTGCGGGACTGGGCGTGGGCGTGTGTGTGTGTTCGGGGAGAGATGTTGGAGCCGGAGATCGGAGGAAGCGGATGTGAGGAGAGCTTTTCGTAGGAGGAATCGCGCGAATGGGTGACGGAGCGAGGCAGGGGAGGATGAGGATGTGGTTCGAGGGCGGCGGGTCGCAGGGTTCGGTCCCAATCGGCGTCGTCCTCGTCTTCTTCGTCGAGGGTGGTGACGGATCGCGGAGAGAACTTTAACGGCGGGTCCTGTAAAAGATCGGGCAGCGTCGCCTGGGACGGAGCTAGACGAGACGACGTCTTATGGTTAGTGACAGGCCTTCCCCTCTCTTGTGAAACGGCAGACTGCGCGTAGGGAGGCAGACGGGGTGGAGGTTTGTATGCGTTAGACGTTTTGAAGGTGCACAGATGTGTGGTCTAGCAACACCGGGAGCCCAGCGCAGACCAGAAGGAGAATAGATGCGACGAAGAGAGTACACTTTGGGACAGGAAGAGGGACGATTGGGGGACCGCGATTAGGTAGGGAGGGCGCAACGCTAAAATCTCAAGGGTCGAAGAGCAACGCAGGGCAAGCCGCAAAGCCGCATAAGCAACCTAACGCCAACGGCCAGCGCGGAAGCCAGGAGAGCCGCACCCACAAGTTGGAACCTGATTCGACCTGGGCCTGGGGCGCGAGGCTGGGATTACGGACCCAATGTCTGTGTGTTGCGTGCGAGCTGGCTATGTGCGTAGCGGATGGGTAGCGCGCGTGTGGCTTGCGAATAAGGTAAGGTGGTGTTGCCGGTGGACGTGGTAGCGTTGGTGGTGGTGGTGTAGCACGGGACGATGAGCAACCCTTGATAGCCGTCGGAGGAGGGCCGAGGAAGAATGGAGAAGACAAGGCGAGAAAAAGGTCAGGCCAGACTATTCCAAACCTTGCCTTACCTCATGGCTGACCAGGAAGAGAGAGAGAGAGAGAGAAGAGACGGGACGAAACGAGACGAGCGAAGCGCGTTCGTCGGCGAATATCCGTCACGTCGTACGTAAGGCGAGGGCGAGGCGCCGCATGGCATGACACAAAAGGCAAAATAAAGGGCCAAGCGAGGGTAAACGGGCTGGGGGTGGGATGGAGACTCGGGAAGCAATGCAAGCCTCCAAAGCTTCCAAAGATGCTCCTCCGAGATGCTTCGGTGTGGTTGAAAGGCTTGACTTGACGCAGCTATGCGGGGAATTGGGAAGGGGGGAGGGAGGGCCGAGGAAAAGACGATACAGCGAGAAAACGCCAAGTGAGAAAAAAGTTGTAAAACTCACCCATTGTTGCGTCGGATCGAGTCCCATGATCCGGGTCTTACGGCATTCGAAGGTTTGTCCACCGTCGCTGGTGGCCGCCACAAAAGTATCGAAGATGGACGTGGAATCGAATCAGGTGTTGTGGGTAGGTGGATGGATGATGGTGGATGACGGATGAACAATTGGATATCAAGAATGCGGCAGCGGAGGAAGAAGGAGAAGAAGAAGAAGAAGGATCAAATCAACATCCGGACCAGAACAGGACAGCAACGATCAAATCAGGATTGGGATCGGGGTCTCCGTCGGGTATATTCTGATTTGCGAGTTGCGATGGCGGCGCGGCACGGCGGCGGTGCTAGCAAGTTCAAGCCGGTGGGTAATCAATGATGAAAGAGCATGATAATCATGATGATTGGAGAAGTTGGGGCCTTGTGAGCCTTTTGCTTTTGGGAGGGGTGGGAAAGGAGGCCGAGCAGCAAGACCAGCCCGTTCTAATCCCAATCCCAAAATCCAATATAATAATCTTGTTCAATAAAGCAACCCAAGAAGAGAAAGTCGGACATGCCTATCCAGTCAATCAATCAATCACCTAGCCAGTCACTCCAGTTAATATCAACTGAGTGGGAATCGAACCCGGACCAAGCTGCAAGCACCAGCCTCTTCTCTTCTCCAGAACTCCTCTTCCGTCTTTCATACGAACATGTCATTTCATTACCATTGGACAACACGGTACTCCGTAAACACAGCCTTTTTCATTTCTTGCTGGGGTTTGTATGGCTGACTACGAGTCTACGGCGGCTCTTTTGGGTTGCTGTCACCGAGCCTATAATAATCCCGCCGGACCAGCCCAGAAAAGAAGCAGAAGAAGCAAATGAAGAAGAAAAGGGCACCATTGGCCGTTGGAACCACCGAATACCGTCCCATGGCCAGGGGCCCAGGGGTGCGAAGCAGCGAAAAGAAGCACAAGGCAAGGTATTGCCTGGGTGCCTTGCTCGCCGCAATTACACGCAGCGTCCACACATCCGAACTCCGTAGGTACCCTCCGACTACTTTTGTCGCTTCTCAACTTTCTCGTACTTCTCTGTATGGACTCATGGAGTATGGAACTGACTTCGACTGAGGTCATGATGGTTTCTTTCTAATGCTCGTCAGCGATGACCATCTTACCCCAATTGCCCCCCCCCCCCCCCCCCCCCCAATATGCAAATCCAACATGCCATCAATGCCTTCCTTGCCTCGCGGCTTGCCTTGCACCGGACTGTCTCTCCTCTCAAGTCTCACAAGACCAGCAGAAAAGAAAGTCAGCAGGGTCTCATGCCGGTCCATGTCATGCCTTTCCCCTCCTTCCCCTGATCCTAAGCCATCTGCTGCCCAAGGCACCGCGAGCTATGAGATCACACAAAGCTCCTCGAGTCCCTCTCCAAATTGAGACCTGCACCTCTCATTCGGCATCTCCCTGCCAGTCCCTGACCTTGCAAGGCCCTCGTGGTCCTTTTTGCTCAGCCGTAGGCTGTTGATGATGTCGATGTTCGTCTCTTGAGATGCACATTGATATTGCCTCGCTTGATTCGCCCACTGGGGCATCACCGTCTTCGCCGTAGTCCAACATTCGGCACCAATCATCGTCTTTCTGTCAGACACTAACAGAGTGACCCGAGATGTGGCTTCTTTAGCCCGGAAGCCTCCGCTCGCGGGCCAAATCGCCAGAGTCCGTCACAATTTTTCTCCATAGCACCGGCCACGCGACAAGGGGAGGATCTATGCAAGGGCCACGCCCAATCAGCATCTCCCACAGACCACTCGACGAGGGGGCCACAGGAGGGAAGCATTGGTCCACCGTCCAATAGCTGAATACCTAGCCCCGGGCACACAGGCACAGGCACGATAGGCTGACTGAAAGGTCTCTGAGACGGGGGAGGGCCAAGCCTCGACGGGCTCGATCCGAGGGCATAACAACGGACGACCCTCCGTAAAACCCCTGGACGCGCTGAAGCTTGCTGGGAATGGCCAGCGGACAGAAACATTGGCCGAGCTGTGAATCTGTGAGGCGGGCGGCGACGGGAGCGCGGGTAGGCGGGCATTGATTGCCACGGTCCCATCCAGCTGAACACTTTGACTGTTCAACATTGCCATGAGTCCCATCACTGCTGAAATTTTGGTCTGCACTCCATAAGACGAAGATCACTCTCGGTCAACCCAGAGTTCCGTTCGTGCATCGCAATCTGGCCTCTGGATCTCCAGTTGGTCCTAATTCCTGAGGTAAATGATTAGTCTGTCATCTTGTAAAGCAACCCACAAATTTGCACAGTCTTTTGCCTAGCAAAATGCCGCATCATCTTTGAGCGTACAAACTTCCTTGGGGTTTGGACAGGTCATATTCATGCTCATGCAGACGCAAGAGCGGGCTACCGTGCGGTCCCCGATGGCAATTTCTGACTCCGCTGTCCGATCAGAAGAAACGAGTGATGTGTCACGTCGATGTCGAGCAACCCAAGTATCCGTACATAAAATGTTACCGTGAACATTTGTCGACGATCAACAGCAATTGAAGTCGGAATGAGCGAGACTTGCAGCGCGGGAAAGAGTTTCTCTTCCCTGATGGATGCTGATGCTCACAGGTTGCGGCACATGCAGGATGATTGCCGTTAGGATTGTCCGCTGCACGTGTGGCCTGGAAATATCCGAACAATATCAATCCCAGCATCGAATGCCGTCGATCAGCAGTTCTAGACTCGATGCTGTCATATCTCGCAACCGTCGCAACGGCTTCTTGTCTTCGTCTGCAAGTAGCCAGTGGCGAAGAGCATATGTGGTCGATTTCTCGACTATTCGAAATGACTGGCATTGAGGACGCTCTCTGGCCCCGTCGGCACTGACCGCATAACAGCATCACGATCAATGGGCTGATTCAGTGGCAGGCGCCCCGACTTGCCAAGTTGAGATCATGGAAGGTGAGAAAAGAAAAGAGGGTAGTTTCCGGCACTCGCGGCGAAGGCAGGTAATGTGAAGGGAATTTGTCGAGGAAGTTTACCCTGCCGTGCTTGCACGAGAAACGGGGTATGACGAAGTGATCAAGAGGATCCCAGGTCTTAAGCTGATGGCAGAGACTGACTCCCTTTTGAACGAGGCGAGGTTCGTTCGCACATTGTTCGATGGGATCTGCACTCTGCAGTGCTTCACAGCTTTCCATTCTCAAGAGTTGTACACGAACCTCCCTAGAGCCTAGGCTCTGGCCGCGGCTCAGTGCTGCTAATCGGTTGAAGGCCTTATTTCGCTTCTATTTGCATTAGCAAACGCGGGCGTGGGGGTGGAGCGCCGCTTGCAGACAAGGAAACGGCCCAGCCGCCCAGGTAGGATCAGAGTGGGTATCCGCCGGTGGTGGAGAGCCAGGACTGGCGTGAAGGTCCGAGACCGAAGCTGCGGTGAAACCCTCCAAATCGCCCGGAGAGGCCAGCTGGCCCGTAATCTAGGCCCGGTGCCTATGCTCAATCGCCAGCAAAGAGCTCCGGTGATTGTTTCGGATGCTGATCCGGTCTCACTACGGCAGTGGCGGCGTGGCTCACCACCCTGGCTAGACGAAATAGCTGAGGCAGACAGTGGCGATCTCTCTCCTTCATGTTATCGCCGGCCGGCATCATGGAAGCAGCGGACTTTGGGACGGGCCCGGCGCACCGCGATGCCGTCGACTCTTCGGCTCCACTCTGCGGACAGTGTGCAGACAGGGACGGCCGGGAGAGTTAGGGTGGTGGTGGGTGGTTGAGACGGGCCTACTGGGGCACACGGATTCCGCGTATTCGTGTTCGGTTTTGAAATCTGTACCAGTCCTATATCCCAGTAGGCAGTAAAACGCCTCGCCGTCGATGATCATCATACGCGAACACATTGGCTCCCGAGATGAGAAGGTCTCCTAGAAACCGTGTTCGAGAAGCATCGAGGTACGGCCCGCGTGGATCACCGCTGCGCCCTGGCGCTTGTCGGAGTGATCTGAGATTGTTAGGCCGAGTCGCCGTGTCATTAAGCAAAAGCTTGGGTCGTCGGAGGCTTCGGCCGAAAAAAATGTGGCTGTCATTGATGAAGACGTGGCCTGAAATGGAATGCGTCAGTTTCCTTGCGACGGAACCCGAGGCATCGGGCAGCCGCGGAATGCACCAACGTTTAAGGTAATTCGTAGACTGGTAGCTGGGTGACTGGTGGTAGGTCACAGGTGTAACAACTGAGACAGATGGTGCAGAGAGAGAACTGTGTAGAGTACATATGCCAAGGATCGACCGTATCCATACTGTATCCGTAGACCGTAGTACAGAAAGAGCGTATTCGTTCTTTGTAGACAGCTGGGTAGGTATCCTCGCGCCAGAAATTAGAGTAAGGTAGCGTGGGTAGGTAGGTAGTTGAAGCCTTGGGGAACATGACACAGCAACTGCCGTGGTGTCGTGGTGTTGTGGCATGAAGTGTGGGCTGGGCTCGTTATCGGTCTCGCGGGGTTCCCTTGCGCAGGCTTGGGCTTGTGGCAGTGGCCCTGTGGGCTACCGTCGTCGCTCGTGTGCCAACCCAATCGAGGCGGAGAGAGAATGGGAGAATGGGACTGCTAGTGTTTGCTGGCTGGTGGTCGTCCATCTCGGCATATATCTGCTACTGCGGTGTCATCAAAGATGAATGATTCAACGAACCGTTCGAGTCAGACGCACCGTCCCCTTGTTGGCATGCATAGTGTGGGATGTATCCGTAGTAGTCTACAACCTGGAGTGTTAGAGTCAGGCTGTTCTGATTCCTGAATTCTTATTATGGACGTAGGAACTGTCCGTCGACGCCTCATCAGACCACCTTTCAGCCTTCCAGGAGCTTGTAGAGAGGGACGGTCTGTTCTCTACTTGGTTCCCGCATACGGCGTGTATTCGTACAGAGAGGTAGGTAGTTGGTCGTGATAGTGTAGGGCCATGTGGTGTGGCTGGCGGCAAAAGAGAGTTTCTTGCTTCGATGATGAGCTTCTGCAGGTTTCCAGTCAAAGGATTGCCGCACAATGTCAAAAACGACTGCCGTCAATGGAAGCAGTCACCAGTCACGCAGTGAAAGTAAACCATAAAGTTTCCGCGGTGGAACCCAGGCATGGAGATATCTCGGCACCGACCCCTCGGGATCCGCTGATCGAAGCTCTCAAGTCCGCCTTCCCCATTCTGAGTGGTCCACTTGGATAATGACTAAGCATACAACCGAGAAAGACCGTGCGTCTGTGTGTACGTATCGAATGTTTGGTGGGGAGACGGTACATGGCAGCGTCAAGACTGGGCAGTACCTACCTTACCTAGAGAGAGAACTGTGGAAGGTGCGGACTAATACCTGCCAAGGAATTGACCCGTACTTTCCTCAGTCTTGGGCCGGAACACCAAGACCTAAAGTGTAGAAATGGAAGGAAGGAAGGAAAGGCCGACTGTCCGCGCCAAAGCGGTGCGGTAGGTACCTACCTAGACCATTCACAGCTTGGAAGCAACTGGAACAGGTACGTAGAGGAATTCTTGTACAGAGGAAGGCACAAAAGGTACGTAGAGCCGGCGGAGAGATATTGGGCAACGGCTTTCCGCTAGGGAGTGGGACAGAGAATAGAAAGGAAGGAACCTCGCTTTCGATTCGGAACTGCCCTGCCAAATCCTGGAACGAGAGCATGCCAAACCCGACCCGACTGGAAGGTGGAGAGGCACAGACCGATACTCGTACCTTCCTTCCATAACCTTACCTTAGGTCGTTCCTTGCCTTGGGCTTCCATGCACATCCAAGTGTCCGTACCTACCTTACCTTGCCTCATTACGAATATTCGCACAATACCTTATTACACAGTTACATAGATAGATCATAGGTTAGGTACTGGGTAGTTAACAAGGAACAAGTTCAAGTCAGCCCAGTTCTGTGTCCACTGTCCCCAGACTAGGCCGTCCAATGCAACTCTGCCCGCCGGTCCCTTATCGCACTTCCGATTCAAAGTTCCGTCCGTTTCCTCCTGTGCTGCGGCCTGCCTGCCCCGGCCTTGCTTGTCCTCATCAACTCCCGTCGAACGAGACGAGACTTCTGCAGCGCACGAACAAACCCCGTCGACTCTTCCTATTTTCTCCTGACCTTGCCCTCTCTTACTCTTACTCCTTACTCTTACTCCTTACTCTCACTCCCTCCGTCTCAGCCCTCTCCTCCTCAAATTTCTCCATACTCCGTTCTTCCTATTTCTTCCCGCCGACTGTTCACTCCGAGTCCGCTTACTATTCAATCCTTCTCTCTTTCCTCTACTCCATACCCGACCCGGAGCCATCTACCAAACAACTCTCCCCGGTGTACACTCTCATACACATACACACTTCACTTACTCCGTACTCTCCCTCCCTCCCTCTCTCTCTCTCTCTCTCTCTCTCTCTCTCTCACTGCTCACACGCTCACTCTTGCGTTGTGTGCTTCCGCCCGTACCTTTCCCAACTGGGGTCTCGGCGTCCTTTGCACAGACCGGTAAGTCCAATCTTCTCTTTGCCCGTGGACCCTAAACCCCCGTACCTCCCACCCTCCCCCATCCCAGTGCTTTGGTCTGGCTACCTTGCCTTGGGTGTCAGCCTTTGGTCCCACGCTGTGCACTACCAGAACTGTGTTGCGCTGCAACGCAACTAGACAGGACAAATAGTGTACTGTGCAAAGTAGAAAGGTGGTTGCTGGCTGCCCACAGGTCTGGCCGTCATTGGCGGCGCCGGAACTGCTGGCACTGGTGCGTGTCCGAAACTCGGCATCGCACTGTTTCCACTCTCCCCGACCGACGGGCTAAATGCTGGGTCTGACGGTCTGACCAGACCTTCTTCCTGGTTTTACCCACATCCTCCTCCACCACAACCACTCCACCACAACCAACTCCACCACAACCATACCTCTTCCTCCCGGCCAATTGTCGAATCACCCCCGCTGATCTCATGTGAACACGATTGCAGTATTCCGCTCCATACTCCGTACCTCACGGGCTACACACGAGGCTTGCATTTCTCCAACTCCCTCCAACAACCGCCTATTCCCGCGGCTGTCAGATCGCCCCCCTAAATAGTCGCCTATTCACGGCTGTCAAATCCGGCAATCCCACTCGCACTCCTGGGCTGGTAATTCTTCATCTCCATCGCTCGCTGCGACTTTTTACCTCCTTGCAGCAACCCCGCCAATCTTCACTCGTACAACAAACACCACCCTCTCTGCCCTGTCGCTGTCGCGCATCACCTCGGAATTGTCAGTGCTTCCGAGCCGCAACCCTTCCAAGCAGTCCAGTTGAGTCCGACGGCCCAACATGGCGGAACTCGACACGCTGGACATCGTCGTCCTGGCCGTCATCCTTTTGGGTACGGCCGCCTACTTCACCAAGGGCAAATATTGGGGAGTAGTCAAGGACCCCTACGCCAACGCCTTCGCCAACGCCAATGGCGCCAAGGCAGGCAAGACAAGAAACATCCTCGAGAAGATGGATGAGTCGGGAAAGAACTGCATCGTCTTCTACGGATCCCAGACTGGTACCGCCGAGGACTACGCCTCTAGACTCGCAAAGGAAGGCAAGAGCCGCTTCGGTCTCGAGACCATGGTCGCCGACTTGGAGGACTACGATTACGATAACCTCGACTCCATTCCCAGCGACAAGGTCGTCATGTTCGTTCTCGCCACCTACGGCGAGGGCGAGCCCACCGATAACGCCGTCGATTTCTACGAATTCATCACCGGCGAGGACGTCTCCTTCTCCGAGGGCAACGACCCCGCCCTGAGCAACCTCAACTTTGTCGCCTTCGGTCTCGGTAACAACACCTACGAGCACTACAATTCCATGGTTCGCAACGTCACAAAGGCTCTCGTGAAGCTCGGCGCATCCAAGATCGGCGAGGCTGGCGAAGGTGACGATGGCGCCGGTACCATGGAAGAGGACTTTTTGGCCTGGAAGGACCCCATGTGGGCTGCTCTCGCCGAGAAGATGGGTCTGGAGGAGCGCGAGGCTGTCTACGAGCCCACCTTCAGCGTTCTCGAGCGCGAGGGCCTCGACGCCTCGTCCTCCGAGGTCTACGTCGGAGAGCCGAACAAGATGCATCTCGAGGGTACCGCAAAGGGTCCCTTCAACGCCCACAACCCCTACATCGCCCCCATCGCCGAGTCCAAGGAGCTCTTCAGCGTCAAGGACAGAAACTGCCTGCATTTGGAAGTCGATATCAGCGGATCCAACTTGTCCTACCAGACCGGTGACCACATTGCCATTTGGCCCACGAACTCCGGTGAAGAGGTTGACCGCTTCCTCGACCTCGTCGGACTTACGGAGCAGAGACACTCGGTCGTCAGCGTCAAGGCCCTCGAGGCTACCGCCAAGGTCCCCTTCCCTACGCCCACCACCTACGATGCCATTGTTCGCTACCACCTCGAGATCTGCGCGCCCGTTTCCCGTCAGTTCATTTCCACCCTCGCCGCTTTCGCTCCCAGCGAAGACATCAAGGCCGAGATGGTCAAGCTCGGTGGCGACAAGGGCCTTTTCTACGAGAAGACCAGTGCTCACTTCTACAACATTGTTCGTTTCTTGGATTCTGTCAGCGGTGGACAAAAGTGGACCAACATCCCCTTCTCCGCCTGGATCGAAGGCCTTAACAAGCTCCAGCCTCGTTACTACTCCATCTCCTCCTCGTCCTTGGTTCAGCCCAAGAAGATCTCCATCACCGCCGTTGTCGAGAACCAGACGATCCCTGGCCGCGGCGATCCATTCCGTGGTGTCGCTACGAACTACCTCCTGGCTCTGAAGCAGAAGCAGAACAACGACCCCGAGCCCACCGCCTTTGGATTGACCTACGAGATTACTGGCCCCAGAAACAAGTACGACGGCATCCACGTCCCCGTCCACATCCGCCACTCCAACTTCAAGCTGCCTTCCGATCCCTCCAAGCCCGTCATCTGCATCGGTCCCGGTACCGGCGTGGCCCCCTTCCGTGGTTTTATTCAGGAGAGAGCCAAGTTGGCTCGCGATGGCGCCGATGTTGGTCAGACGATTCTCTTCTTCGGATGCCGCAAGTCGACCGAGGACTTTTTGTACAAGGATGAGTGGGAGGTAAGCAGAGCCATCCTTTAACCCCTTGCATGGTTTATGACACAAGACTGACACGTGTAATAGCAATACAAGAAGGATCTCGGCGACAAGTTCGAGCTCATCACCGCATTCTCCCGCGAGGGCCCCAAGAAGGTTTACGTCCAGCAACGCCTCAAGGAGCGCTCCAAGGAGATTAACAAGCTTCTGGAGAAGAAGGCCTACTTCTACGTCTGTGGTGACGCCGCCAACATGGCTCGCGAGGTCAACACCGTTCTGGGCCAGATCCTGGCGGAGCAGCGTGGCATCTCCGAGGCCAAGGCCGAAGAGATTGTCAAGAACATGAGAGCAGCCAACCAATACCAGGTACGTCGGGTCGCATTCCCCCACAACAGTTTCGAGACCGATGCTAATCAATGCCACAGGAGGATGTTTGGTCATAGAGTCGGTCTGCGTAATGTGACACGGAGTACGGAATCTAGAAAGGAAAACGGAGAAGGCATCTACGCTCTCTTTATAGAGGTGCGAAATCTGTTCGTGCGTGGTATGCGTGTGGATGTGCGCACGTCTTCTATATCAGCATAGGGCGGCGTATGTTGTGCATATTGGATCGGGATGAACGGAGTAATGTCTCGGGGAAACCTAACCTACCTTAAACCCATCCCACCGACCTCTTTGCAGGCAGATCGCGCAGACGGGGTTCTTCCTTTTTTTCAACTATTTTACATTAAAGCAACGTTGGGCGGGCAGGCAGGCATGGTGACGAGCGGGCAAGGTTTTTTCTTTTTGGCTTGGTTGCTTGACTTTGGTTTTCCAACTTGGCATACAACCTCTGTTTTTCTTGTTTTTATGCCGTCATTGTCCTGTCACGCGTGCCACTGGATTGTCAGTTGGTTGGTTTTTTGGAGTTTGTACTGCAGATAATGATTCGTTCAGAGTATAAACAGTTCATCTTCCAAAGTCTTTGTCCACAATATGTCAATTGTGAAATGACAGTTGTGATTTACCCTGAGCTTAGGTAGGTGTCTAAACCCTCAAATTGATGAACTTACCCATCATACCTAACCCGGCTGGCCATCTAGCTGTCTTCCTGGAATCATTAACTGGTAAAGTAAGTACCAACCGGGCCTACCTCAACCGAGGCGACATGGTGCGGCCCTCTGTGACGAGATGCTGGGTGATACGGGTAGTTGCAGAAGCTTGGGCTTCGCCATGGCGTGATTGGCCTTTCGGTGGTTGCTACTTGACACTTCCTATTCGAGGGGAAAAATATATATTACTCTCCTTGACACGACCCGGGACGCCGTCACTTTGGTCAGTAATCAATAATTGAATCGGAAAAAAGCTGAACAGATCGGGAAGCACCAAGCCCGTCCGTCCGTCTTCTCGTGCGGGAAAGAATAAACAATCCTTACGGATATTTGCAATCAATCAGTCAGCATAACTCAGCAACACCCCGTTTCCCTAGAGGTACAAGAATAACCGGTTAAAAAAGACCAACCCCGGAATGAAGGAGGAAAGAGACCACTGGTGAACCTGAACCCGGAACGGGTAGGGACGTGATGCGATCATCCCTCTCTCCCCTCCCTCCCCCCACCCCGCAAACATTCCAACATACCTTACTTACGGATGGCACTGCCTGCCGAGCGGAGGATCGACTCGGTGACCGGGGTTGGACGATGGCACTAAGCCAGAAATTGCTCTCCGAGTGCGAGCTGCTCCCCTTTCCGTCCTTGCTCCCCGCGGCCTTGTTTTACGGATACCGTCAACTACGAGATCGTCCACGGTCCAAGGCCTGGCGCGATGACAACCAACACAGGCTGCCAATGCTCCTCGAACACTTCTCGATCCGAACGGCGGCAGCGGCGTCTCGGGTATCTCACACTACCAAGAAACAAACAATGAGCAAACATCAGAGCTCGGAGGATCATCCCCAGCAGAACGTGGAAAGAGGGTGTGATAAGACGTCGAGGCCAAGTCCCTCTCCTCACAACGAAACGTGGTATCGCATCCCTCCCAATCTGTCCTCCCAGTCCCAGCGTCTTGCAGTGCGTGTGGAACCAAATTTCATCATCATCGCTTTACCGGTTCTTAGAGGTCCGGCAGAAGCCGCCATGTTGTCTTGGTGGTGGAGGAAAGAATCGAGACATGACAAGCCGGCATGACCTGCATGACGGCCGAAGCAAGGCGCAAAAAAGGCACTTTCCAGTCGGCGTAAGTGACTGGTCTGCGGTCCTCCGGATCATCGCCCATGTCTGAGCCCAATTTGCCGTCTCTTACGAAATGAGTATCAGTCGCCAATCGGTCTCATTGTATGGGCTGAAACGGGCACCAAGGGAGTTTACTTTTTGATGAAGCTGCGCAGTCGAAATCGTTGATTCGTGAGGTAGAAGGTTGGCGCAAAATGGGGAACAACTTTCGAGATCCAAGACGCCTGTGACGCCTTGCTTGCTGCAGGCTGCAGCAACAAGCTGATGTTTGCCTTTTGGTCCTGGTCTGCCGCTGCAAGATCCGATCTCCGCCCCAGCCAACCTGCAACCTTTGCACTTGACAGCCCGGACTTTGCTTACCGCCACTTTGGACGACGGAGATCCAAAAGAGACCAGTCACATCGGCTGTCCTTTTGCAGGAAAGATGGCTGCTCGATCCTCGACTCCAGAGGGCAGAAAGGCGATTCGTTCTAAACTTCACAGTCACACTGCCCGCCCGGGCCCAGGCTTGACTTGCTGAAGCGGCTGCTCTATGCAAGTCCGAAAGTTCTGGCCAGCCGACGCGGGTAAAATTATCAGGAGAACCGGGGAGATGAGGAGGCCGGCGGAAATGTGGAGGCTTTCATCACCACAGCTTCAGCCTCAACTCTCTTGCGACCTCACAGAAGGCGTGCTCCTCTCGCCACGGTCATGAACCACCAAGAGCCCGCAAAAGAAACCAGAAAAGGGTCCCTTGCGAATCTCAGAGTCGAGTTCGTCTCGTCATGTGCGTGAAAAAGCGGCACGGTCTTATCCCACCCCACGACATTGCTTTTTCCTCGTCGGCACTAGCAGGGAACGAGCATGTTAGTTCTCGGTTCTGGGCCAAACACGCTTCGCCTTCTGTATGTGAATTCCATGTTCTTCTGCTCGTTCTGTGGGTGTCGATTGTGAACGCCAGTACCAAGACCTCGTGGCTCGACCGGGTTGTGATCTCTCGAAATGCCGTCAACGGACAACGGCAGACAGCCTCCCTGGCCGGTCGTTCGTCAGCACTGTTAAAAAAAGACCAAGAAAGACACACCTGGGGAGAGCATGAGAAACTCGCACAACCTCGGAGACAGCAACAACAGTATGCCATGCGTATCAAAATTGGTCTCAGGTACCCGCCACGCCACGTCGGGTTGCTTGACACTGCTGCCCACGCCAACACTCCAGATCACGCCAGCCACAGACTATCGTGAGATGCAGGCCGCACACTTTCTAATCCGAACCCGGCTAGGTTCTGTTTCGTCTCCAAGTGAGTGATTCTCAACAAAAAAAGGAAAGCCAGGTTGCGCTTCGCTGTAGACAGACCGCTGTCTTCCGTTCCCCAAACTGCAGATAATCCTCTGCTTGGTACCCAACCCCTTGTTTGACAAGTTGGCTCGAATGCTTCGTCTCAGAAGTGCTCTGAACCCTTGATCCTGGGGCACCGAGACTTCCAGAAGTCAGTCGGCCAGTCACCGCCCAGAATACACCTCCGACGGGGTGGGTGGTGGACATCGGGATGTCTGCCAAAGTGAGTGCTGAGTGCGTCGCGGTTGCCGGCAGCCATTGGCCCCCGTCGAACACACACCTACATGATGAGGATCGATCTCAGACTCAGGCATATCAGGTCACCCGCTAGGCCTCAGACTGGCCGCTTCAAAAAGAGAGACATCAGGCAGCCCGTCCATTTCTGAACCCTCGGCCGGACGGCCTCTCCTTCTCGACGCTAACCCTGTCTCAGAGATCAGTGGGAAGAAAAGCAACAAGTTGAGTGGATCAGCACTCTATGACAACCACGCTTGGCTGCAGGGCAAGGATAGTGGACTGCACAGAAACCGAAAGAGCAGCCTCCATAAAGATGAGCAGAGATCCCTCTCAGCCGCCGGAGAATGGCCCCTATTTTCCTGCGAAATGGCATCCAGATAGATCTTCTCCTCTTATCCGACGACTTTTTCGTGGTTGAATCGTTACCCTGGTATTCTTAGGACAAACGGACGGTGCATCAAGGTTGCATTTTGATATTGGAGTTTCCTTGTCAATTTGGGTACCTGCAGCGTCGTCTTTGGAGGCATTCGTTGAGGAACCGGTTCGACGCAGCCACTTCGTTGCGTATTCCCCGCATACATCGATATCGCCGGCCAGTGGCAGCTTGACGGCGTTGGTCCTGGACAATCCACAGGACAGCTTGAGCTGGAGTTCTGGATACACGGGTTGATCAGTCCTATAAACCCGCACTGCTGAGAGATACTAATACGACTTGCAGACTCTCTCAAATATTGACGACATTCTTGGTACCGGATCGCTCATCGGTATCAGCAGCATCCTTGGTTGATCGAGACTTAGTGCAGCGGACCAGGCAGCCGAAGGAAGACTCGCAGATCCAAAGAAGGGAACGACTTGCCATCTTCGCTGGCAGCAAGTTCTTCAGCAGCTATCAAGCATCGTCTTCCGCAAGAAGACAGATTCGACTACTTTTGGAAAAGCAGGGGCATCATTCATAATCGAGTGGTGCTTTTGGTTGACGCAGGAGAAGGAAGTTGACATCGCCTGACTGCCGCTACTACGGCTTGCTCGAGGTGATCGTTCCATTGAAGATCATCGTCGACTGTTTCCTCCTGTTGTAGCATTTCTCTTTTCAATTCGGGGAAGAACATCGTCAGGTTAACAAATTTGGGAAGCCTTGAGACGTCGAGCAGAAGGAAGAAGCAGTGAGAAGTGGAAGGAAAGGAAGCTTGTCTCCACGGCCCATCTCCCGTTCCAGTCACACTTCTAGGTACGTTCCCTTTCTCCTGTCTCTAGGGTACACGATCCCCGTCAACCCTTATCGACAAGATTTTCCAAGCTGGAAGGAAGGAATGACGTCTACCTCTATGCTACGGGGAAGTTGCTAACATTGGGAAAGTAGCACGGCACAGCCATTGGTGCTGGCAGCTGACACCCACCGGGCCTTTCCCCCGGTCCGAACTGACGGGGTCACCTCTTTGCCCCCCGGGTGCCCTCACCTTCTCTGCTTACATCGTCACTTGTCTTGTTCTGCCTCTCAAGCAAAATCTTCTCTTTCCCACACATTCACAATCTCTCCTTCCAGCTTCAACGGATCCAACAAACTTGGGCTGCAGAGGAAGGCAAAGGAAAGCAAAGCATCCTTACCTTAGGTACGTCTCGTCATCTACCCGCTCGCCCTTTATCTTCTGCCAATGCCCCAGGTTCGGCTTCGTTTCCTCCATCTTCTCTCTTTTCTCTTGACCACAGCATCACCACCACACTTCTTCAACCCACCACACAGTCTCTTTGACTCCGACTGCTCCCGATAGCTTGTTCCATCTTTTTACTGATCACTCGCTTCTTCACAGAGTCTTTGGTAACAACATTTCCCATTGTTGACGTTGTTCGAGTCTACGTTCGGTTCCAAGCCTCTGTTCATATCCAGACGACAAAGGTAAGTTTTGGCTTTACCGCCACACTCCACGCAAACCTCCCCATGCCCTGTTTGTCTTTGACCAGCATCACATTCTTCCCCATCCAATAGTGTCACCTGTTGGCGGTGTGACCATTTTGTTGCAAGCGCCCGATTTGTTGGAGATCATTTCGATCTTGCAGATTTCCTCGCCATTTCCCTCTGCCCCCCAGCCTGTCCGTATCCTGGAATACTCCTACCACTGTTCATCGCATATCATCATTTACTCCAAGTTCATTCGCTAACCCTTACATAGTTCCAATCCGCAGAAATTCCGACTCAACGCCTCTTTTCAACCCTTGGAACCCATTGAAATCGTTCCTGTAAGTGCAATATCGCGTCCGCCCAACCCCCGGACTTCGTGTCAACCTTCCAGCATGGCACTCGCCCCAGTGCCCTGCGGCTTCTGTTTGATACAGGAGAAAGCTTCTGACACGCTGCTAACTGATCGATGTTCAAGACCGCGGACTTGACTATGTCTTATCAGACTCACAGCATGGACCCCAAGCACTCTGTCGCCTATGCTGGACCTGGCAGTCACGCCAGTCAGTTCCCCGAGAACCAGATGCCCAACATGATGGGTAGCGTCGACGCCTTGAATGGTGCTATCGGTCAGTTCCAAAACATGACCTTGGGTAACGGCATGTCCCACAACGTTGGTGGTATGGGACAGATGGCTACTGGCCATCCGTACATGATTCCCCAGGATTATATCCTGGCTCCTCATCTACCCTCTGCCTTGGGAATGGATCACCTCTCTCAGGGCCCGTACGGACCAAGTGGCTACTTGGCTGCGCCTGGACAGTTCAGCCCCTACGTCCCCTACCCCATGATGCCCTTCACCCCCGGTCGCGCTGTGAGTGGCAACTCGGCTCTCCAGGACCGCACCAACCGCGGCCACAACGACGTGCCCGGTCTTGAGAATCGTCGTCACAGTGGTGGTTCTTACACCACCACCGAGTCTGCTCCTACGACTCCTTTCTACAGTGGCGCCGGCAAGAATGACAAGGGCCCCCGCGTTGCTGCGCTTGATCGTTCAACCTACACTACGCCTTCTCCCCAGCAGCTTGTCGGCGGCAACATCTTCGTTGAACCTGCTGCCAAGCACGGCGTCATCACTATTCCGGTCGACCGCAACTTGGAGGAGATCCTCAAGCAGGATCCTCCCATCCCCAAGGCCGTCCCCGCAGTCTTCACCCCTGCCACCCAGATGAAGACCCTGGATCAGAGTTTGGAGAATAGGATCCCGGGCAACCGCAATGTTTACATTCGCGGTCTTCATCCGACTACTGATGATGAGCTCTTGTACCGCTTCACTTCCCGGTTTGGCGAGGTGGAGACTTCCAAAGCCATCATTGACACGTCCACTGGTGCCTGCAAAGGGTACGTTGGATCGAGCTTGGTTTTCCATGCACTCTTCGCTAACGACTAAACAGTTTTGGCTTTGCCAAGTTCTTCGACGTCCGCGACTCGGAGATGTGCATCCGAGGCTTCCATCGTCTCGGATATGAGGTTGGCTTTGCTCGCGTATGTTCTGATCTGCAACTATCCAGTGCCCAGCACCCATTGTCTAACGTGTTTTGCAGGAATCTTTCAACTCTCGCCTCAAGGCTGAGGGTGACGAGGGCTCTACCAACCTCTACATCTCCAACCTCCCCAAGAGCCTGACGGAGAATGTGAGTTTGCGCTGACCTTTTTTTTTCTTCTTTTTTTTCTTTTTTTGGGCTGTTCCTATGCTGAATACGGACACCTCCAGGACCTCGGCGATATCTTCAGAGGCTACCACATCATGTCGTCCAAGATCCTGCGTGATAGCATGGGCAACAGTCGTGGTGTTGGCTTCGCTCGGTATGTGACTCCTGACTACTCTCGAATGCCGCATGCTAATTAGCCCAGTTTCGAATCCCGCGATGTTTGCGATGCCGTCATTAAGCAGTTCAACGGCATTCCCATCGGCGAGGAGGGCATGGTGATGAACATTCGCTATGCTGACACTGCTGGTCAGAAGGAACTCAAGCGGGTCACTGCTGAGCGTCGCCAGTTCCGTACCAACGAGTACAACATCGGCGCCTACGGCACTCCTCTTGTTGGCATCCAGCCCAACATGTACAATCAGCCGGCCTGGAAGCGTGCTCTGCACTCCACGGCGAACAGGTGAGCACCCGTCACCCACTCCATCTCTGACTTCAATTGCTGACCACTTGCCACAGCTACGCCCCTCGTTCCATGACTGGAGGTCTCGATCGGATGGGCAAGGGGGTCAAGTCTGATGACTACCAGGCGGGCACTGTTCAGGGACATACCCAGTACGGTGACCATTCTCGCCATTGGAGCATTCTTCTTGACTAACCTGCTTGTTCAGATCACCCGCGGAGACTACCGTTGTCGAGATCTCGTCCACCGAGAGCGACGAAGGCGTGACTATTCACGCCGACTCGGCCACGC